TATTAAATTTATAACAATTTTTTATTTTAATATTATTTTTTTCATAAAAGAATCGTAAGCCTTTGACAGTAGAAGAAATGTATGAGGATGTTAGTCAGGATCATGCCAAAAAGACTGTTACAATGGAAGTCCATCCTCATATACCTGGACCATTAATGGCTTCAGTTCATCCTTGCAGGTAACTTTATGTGAATAAACTGTTATTTAAGTTAATATTTTTGTTAGTATACAAAATTTTCACTGATATAAAATTGTAGACATGCTGAAGTAATGAAGAAGATTATTGAAACTGTAATGGAAGGTGGTCGTGAGCTTGGAGTACATATGTATTTGATAATATTCCTCAAATTTGTGCAATCTGTAATTCCTACAATCGAATATGATTACACACAAAACTTTATGCTGAATGCCTCTGGTTAGGAGCTTTATAAATTTTCATTGTACCTTAAACGTGATTTTAGTTTATAAGCGTATAATAAGTAACGGAACTAAGAGGATTGTGAAGCATATAATATAATAAATACATTTCAGTTCAGAAAACTATACATATATATGTATGTATGTGTACCTCTGGAAGATATTTGAATATAAAATTGTATTTAGCTGACTTTAGTTTATTGAATTAGTTCTTAAAATTTCGTTATAATTTTTTATTTTGTTACTTTATAAATCTTGCAAAAGTAGAAAGTAATTAATATTTTCTAAAAAAAATTACAAATTTAAAATGTTTTAAATTATAGACATAGAGGTGTAATAAAACTAAATTTTATATAATTTTTATGTAATTAAAATATATGGTTGCACTAAGTGTGTTTGTGTGTATGTACACACATATATACAGATATCAATAAAAGAACGAAAAAATAACAATATTTAAATCTGAAAACAAGATTTTGTGTTTCTCTAAAATCAGTTTTTACCCATAGAGTTTAACTTTGACGTTTTAAATGGCTGGTAATTGTATAAGATAGTTTAAAATTCTTACATCAGAGATCGTTGCTTTTATTCAGGTTTAAAATGGCGGTACTTGTACATGTTGTATTTAAATGTCACTACAGATTTATTGAGTCGAATTTTTGTAAGTAAAGATTACTCGCATTATATTTAATATGACTTTATGTTTAATATACTATTGAATATGCTATTTCTTATCATTTTATCTTTCGTAGGTTAAGAAGAGTGTTTAGTGATAAAAGTTCAATTAATTTGTAACTCAAAAGAATATTTGAGAAAAAATGTCGACTTTATATGATCAGATAAAATTGCTTTACGAACAATCCTTATATTCAAATGTTATTTCGCTTGTAAGTAATAGGTAATCAAAAATATTTTCCTTAAAATTTAATAACAATTAATGAAGTATGGAAATAAAATTATGCTATATTAATAAAGACATAGTCACTTAATATGTCACATAATTTATGTTGTTACTTAATTCGTATTTGATAAAAGATGAAATTTAATAATTTAATATAATTGTTTCCATATTACAGGCAAATTTGGTTTTATCACTGAGTGAGCATAATTCAGATTTATTGCCAATACATGGGAAATTCCATATATATGTTTATTATGCAGATGCTCATTTTTACTTGGGAAAATATAAAAGAGCTGAAGCACTTTATAAGAAATCTTTGCAATTTCGCAAATGTTTATTAAAATCTAAAGGTGCTACAAAACCTTTAGAAGGTCAGAAGGATTTGCCAACTGATGTTGATATAAAATTTCAAATTCATTTGTGTTTAATAAAATTAAAGAATTCTCAAGAAGCACTTCAGGTGTTACAAAGTATTCCTGGTAAACAAAGAACTCCAAAGGTATTTTTAATGAATTCTAATATTAATGTTTAGTTGCATTTATAAATGAATTTTCTTTTCTTTTAAGGTAAACATGGCACTAGCAAAAATGTTCCAAGAACAAGGAATGGAGCGCTCTGCAATTACTACTTATAAAGAAGTTTTAAGAGAATGTCCATTAGCTTTAGAAGCTGCAGAAGGTCTCCTTTCCCTTGGAGTAAAGGGAATTGAAGTAAATTCACTAATTGTGAGTTGTGCATCCAATTTATCAAATTTAGATTGGTTGAACACATGGATCAAAGCTCATGCACATATACATAATAGAGAATATACCCATGCAGTATCAACATTAAGGTCTTTGGATAATGTTAATCTACTAAGAGATAATTTTAATTTATTGACAACAATGGGAGAATGCTATTATTATGCAGGAGATGATAAAAATGCTTTATTATGTTTACGAAGAGCCAGGATTATAGAACCAGATGTTATGAAAGGGTAATCATTTCTAAAAGTATATTATTTACTATTTTACTTTATAAAGTTATACTTCACAAAATTTTGTAACTTAAGTATTTAGATAAAATGAATATTTTAAATTTACATTATTAAATAGGGTTGACGTTTATGCAGCAGTATTATATAAAACACACCATATTAAAGAACTTGAAAGACTGATTCCAATAATAACAGCAAGCAATGAATGTACTGGAGAAATATATGTTGCCATGGCATACTCTCTTTATGTTGCTAGAAAACTTGGTAGAGCAAACACTTTAACAGCACAAGCCTTAAACATAAACCCAAATGATATAGAAGCAACAATTCTTCGAGGAAATATTCTTATAGAACAAAAAAAGTACCAAGATGCATTGTTCTTTTTTAGACATGCGGTACAACTAAAACCATATCGTTATGAACCACATAAGGGTTTGGTAGATTGCCTTGTAGGAATGCATAGATTACGAGAAGCTCTCAACATTGCAAGTGGATCTTGTAAACAACTAGGACATACTGCAAGAGTTCTTACGGTATTTAACAAAAATTAGTCACGTGAATTTATTTTAATGTAGAAAACATGAAATTGATTATAAGTAACATGTTAGTTTAATGTACTAAATAACTAGATATACATATTTTAAAAAGATTAGAAATTAAGAAAACAATTTTTGTATAGCTGTATGCATCTGTACTTATGAAAGATCCAGTTTCTGTTGGTAAAGCAAAAAATCTTTTGGAAAAAGCATTACTTCAAGATGAAGTTTATCTACATGCTGTTTATTTATTAGCCGAAATATATGAACAAGAAATGAATTTAGAAGCTGCGATTGCGTTATTAGAAAGGCAAGTGGAAATCCAGCCAACATGCAAATTGCATCAGATGCTTGGAGATTTATGGGCAAGAGTTCATAATGAAGAAAAGGCTTTAGATCATTATGCAATTGCTTTAAAGTAGGTTTTTTAAATTTATAGACATAAATAGTGTAAATGTAAATATTAACAAAAGATATTTAAATTTAATAGAAATATTGTACAATATAATTACCACACGTTTCTATCTACCAATTTATATAATGTAATAATCTCACATAAATCAATACAACGTTTTAAATTAGTTTAGATCCAAGTAATAGAAGAGCGTTGGAAGGTATGCACAGACTAGATAACTCTTCAAATAAATTAGATTCGGCTTATTATATGACTGTGGGTGAAGAACAAACAGATACAACCTACGATGTTGGTGATGGCTTACCAGATACTGATAATGATGAAGCGCCTGATGAAAGTGAAACCGAAGCTATGTGGTCGGATATGGATCTTGAGGCAAATAGTCAATAATATA